TGGAAGCCAGCTGGGCGGCGGAGACAACCAGCTGGACATCGGGAGGGCGTATCCCGCTGCCACCACCCCTCCTGTGTTGCCAGCGGTCGGGGGAGGGCGCCGGTTGCTGCAGGCAGCCACTTCACAGTAGAAGAACATGGAGAAGTCTGTTGTAGTGCCTCGCTGGTGGCAGGGAAGGAGCAGGACATTAGCTGGTTGCCGGATAGGACAGCAGGACCTGCGGAGGCTGCACTGATGCGTCCGGAGGGGGGAAAGGCGGAAATTGAATTGCGGCTTATATCAATACAGACTGGATGCTGGCTTGCTGATTGGGGTGGATTTGGAGGGCGTGGCACGCCTATGTAAGGCACTGGGAGCAATCCACTCCCAGTGCTGACTTTTTCTTTTGCATGCATTAAAGTTTTGCTGGTAATGTTGTTCCTGTTGTTTCTGGAGTTTGTTGGCAGCAGACAGAGGACAGCGGACAGTGGCTCAGTGTTGTCTGCCATGGTTAATCAAAAAGGGTTCCTGATGCGGCACAGGAACGATCTTGCTCTGCAAGAGACGTCAGTTACCCACCATGATGGGACTGACTTGCACATGGATCAGTGTAATCCGGCCCACTGGCCAAGCAGGACTCACACTGGGCACATCAAGGCGCTTGTCACCAGGAGAAGAGGCAAAGTTAATGTGTCCGTAATGCACAGTCCTGTGGCCCGTGTGGTAACGAGATGTCACGTGTCTCACTTTAGTGGCGATGGTCAGGTCCTAGTGAGCAACCACTAGATGCAGAGTGGCAGAGGCTAAGGTGAAGGAGTACTAAGTGGCAAAAAACTGCGCAAAATTGTGTGTTCAGTGGAGGCTTGATGCTGAGAGAGCTGCCAAATATAGTGCAAGCAAGGAGTAGAAAGGGGATCCACTGAATTTAGGTTGGGAAAATAAATTCCAAGTGAGATTGGAAGCTGTCAGCTGTATGTTGGTCTGAATTCGAAGGAGTGAGGCCCAGCCGCTGTTTGAGGTGATCAAAATGGCGGCCACATGGGCAGGAAGGGAGCAGTTGGTGAGGGAATCCCAAATAGAGCTAACAGCTGTAAAGCGAGGAAAGCAGCTCTGACCGACCAATATTGCTGGCGGCCGTCTAATGGGCGTTACGAGCAAGGGACTAATCCTCCTCCAAGGTTCAAGCCTTCAAAGGGCTTGTCAGTGCCAGCAAACGGTCACCTCGCGGCGCACCAAAATGGTGGCCACGCAGCTGAGAACGGGAAAGGGCAAACCCTTGAAACCTGAGGAGCAAGAGCTTGAAATGCCAAAGTCTGCTCCCAAAAAAGCTGGGAGACGCGTAGAGAGCAGTCTCCCTCTCTTCCTGGTCTCTGTAGCTTGCACAATGGAATTTAGTGATCCGCGCCAATCAGCTGGGAGGCACGGTGGCCGCGGCGCCTCCCAGCAGCAGTGGAAAATCCGGAGACGAAATTAGTTAAAACTGTTAGATCTGATGGCTGCTGTGGTAAACAGCAGCGAGATGTGAGCCTCACACTGAAACTGCTCTTCTAGCTGTTGCGAGTTGTTGTTAAAGGCCCCTGAAGCGTCTGACAGAATAACAGCCACCAAAATGGCGGCTGCAGCTCAAACTCTCGGAGCTGACAGCTAAGGGAGGCTTCAGGGGACAGAAGCCTGTAGGATCGTAGCAGAGCTGAATAGAAGCTAAATGGCTTCTGGCTGTTCTGTCAAGGCAATCTCTAATGGATTCCTAAAACTCTGAAAAAATTTTTGGTAGAGCAGCGTTTCCAAAATGGAAACTGCAGTCCACTGTGGGCTGACAGTTAAGGGGGGGGGTCAGATGGCAGAAACCCTAAGGATTTTAAAATTAGACAGAAACTGTGTGGGTTCTGTTTCTTTCCCCTAAAGAAGAATCTACTAATGGGTTAGAAGGAAAAGTATTTCCCCTGAATCAAACCTGTCAGAAGTCAGAATTTGGGAGTCAAAATTGTCACGTCCTCATGGGCGAACAGACTAAGTTGAAACTGGGAAGTACCAGGCAAGGACGGGCGTGACAACTTTGACAACTTAGTCTGATTGGGCAGGAGGACTGAAATAACCCATTGGTGGATTCTTCATCCATCATGCTGGAGAAAGAATATATTTAAGCAGTAACAAAGTTGTTAATCATGGATGTTCTCTTGATTTTATAGTTTACCTGAAGTACAAACTAAAATCAATCAAATTCATGTTTCAAATATTTTAATCCCCATAGACACTTATGGTCCACCACCTTTATTTTTATTATTGCTTTATAGTACTCTGGTTCATACTCAGACAAGACCAAAGTTTAAACTCAAACATTCAGTAAATGATTGTATTTAAATGCATACTTTTTAAAATGTTGCACACACCCCCACTTTCTCAAGAATTATGCAACTCTAGCTAGAGTTGTACCATCACATAAGTAAAGCAACAGCAATAACCCCAAACATAAGATGCTACCAGAAAACTGCCTCACTTGATATAATCATTTTGAAATTCAAGTAGCCTGACACATTTCTCCACAACAGTAACAATAAAGTCTGAACTATTAGACAGATTTTGTATTTAGCATTCCAGTATTTAAACCAAAAGTTTTACTAAGGTTCTTTGCCAACATTCAGATTTCCAAGGTTAGGGAGCATTTTAAAAGATGAGATATGACCAAAAGTTCACAAGGATATTATTTTGGAATATCCACATTCAAATTAGCCTTTGAAATAGGACTGTGACCAATATCACAATATGACTGGAAGGAAACACACTACTGTATTGTGTATTTTGGCACATTATATCCTGTGCATTTTAAGTATGACAAATGATATTTTAAACAAAGTACGTAAAAGCATGCTGGCTTGCTAACTACCAATAAATACACAATATTTATAACAGCAAAATCCTTGTGCATATTTTCTCTAATCTTATCCTGATTTTATCTATGAATAACACATGCAAATTGAATGAAATCTTTGCTGTTATTTCCATTCCTTGTGCTAAACAAAGAACCAAAGCTGCTCAGTTAGCATCAAGGTTAAAGAAATGACACTTGCATTAGGTTAAGCAGGAAATATCACATTTTCGACTTTTGCTTTTAAAAGATTTTAATCAGACACATTACAATGCACAATTGTGTCTTTTGATCCAGAATTAACAGATTCCATCCACAAGATTTTGAAAAAAAAATCACTTTTCCTTACACCCATTCCTTTAATCAATACAGAGAATTAAAAGATTCTTACTATGGATAGTTCCAACCCATCCAATTCATTCCCATATGTTGAATGTCAAGATTTTCTTGTGGCCTTTGACTGGTTAGAAATAAATTATCTTTAGCAGTTTAATTAATGTATAAATCAAGGTTTAGCTTGCTCAATGAACACAGACAGGCTACTTATAAACAGCAATTCTGAAAAAGGCAGTCTACAACATAAGTGGGTCAGTTGTACTAATCTAGTAGAAACCTATTTTTTGTTTCCACCTCTTTATTTTTGATGACTAGTCTGAAATAAATATTACATGCATCAGCTCGAGGAATGAACTTATTTGAATGCAACTTTCTAGAATTCCACCTAAACAAACTAAAATAAAATTAGTGAACATATAACATCTCAAATTATTTTTAAAACCATGTTCCATTCCAACTTTTCAGTACCTTCTATCAGTTTGAAAGGCAAATTTCTTGCCTGTGAGACCAAGTTGTCATTTTATAATGAAGACATTTTATTAGGTAAGAAAAGAAAATGAAGCGAGAGCTTCATTCCAATGTCAGGTGTAAAAGTGCAAGTAAGCAGTGTAACTGGTATTGTTCAGCCCAGGGCAATGAAAATAACATCAACTTAACTGACATATCAGATTGTTAAACAAACACGATTATTTTTTCTTTATGTATCAAGTGTGTATTATGTGTGTTGGCTTAACAGAATGATTTCAAAGATGACTGTTCTAGGCACAAAGCAAACTTTGGTCAATATTACTGTCAGTGTCAAATCAGTAACATAAGTAAGTTGTCACAAGTTATTTGTTCGAGTGAAAAGCACCTGGGGCAGAACCTATAGACTGCACCTGAGATCAGAATCCTGCTGAAACAAGAGTTTGGAAATCTGTAACATAATGCAACACTGCCTGGTATTAAAATTTTAACATCCATACTGCTATATGTAATCAGTTCCAACTAATCAAACGAGCAAGCCATTATTTCTATTGCATATGCCAGTGGTGGCGAACCTATGGCACGGGTGCCAGAGGCAGCACTCAGAGCCCTCTCTGTGGGCACATGCGTCATCGCCCCAGTTCTAGGCCTTCAGCTGGGTTTTATAAAACCTTTTCGCTTTAGGCCTCCGCTGCCATGTGCAAAAAAAAAAAAAAAAGGTTTAATCAGTCAATTTCAACTTCTCGCAGGGAAAAAAAAGATCTTGCAAAGTTGGAATTGATTGATTGAACTTTTTAGTCCCACCCAGTCTGCCGTTACCACGGCAGCCACATCCACCCAATGTGCCACACCCCAATTGGCCACACCCAGCCAGTGGGCCACACACACACGGCATCTGACGATGCATAACTGGGTTTTGGGTTGCAGTTTGGGCACTCGGTCTCTAAAAGTTCGCCATCACTGGCATATGCCACCCTATTCCATCAAATAAGCTTTTTCAATTTTTGTTTTCAAACAGGGAAACATTTGCAGTAGTCATTTTTACATAAGAAAGGTTGCCAGGTGGCTGACTTATAGATACAATTGAGAAGTTACACAGTGGGTCTTCACAACAGAAAGCTGTTACCTCATGTTGCTATAGTCTGAACCATTAAGGTCATGTAAAAAATAATGTTCAGTTCAAGTATACTTCTGATATTCCACCATTTAGTATAATGAGTCACTGTTACTGCAGGTGACTCCAGTGCATAAATCCAAGATACAAGTGCCTCTATGCATAAAGAGTGAAATTTCACAATGGCCAGCGGAATAGGCACTCCAACCTAGATAGTTGAATGTTTTCAAAGCAGTGGGGTTTTTTTTTTAGAAAATAATCACGCTCAAGCAAGTATATTGAATGGAGAAATTATTTCCTTGTTTCTAATGGACTTCATTAACAGCAATGAATCTAAACAACCTAATTTTTGGCAGGGTGAGAAGTTCACTTGAAGTTTTATAAGGCAAATAAAATATGGAAATAGAATTTTTACAAGCATTTGACCTGTGATATTGTAAAATCCAAGTACTATTTTATTAAATGAGTTATTTTACACAATATGAACATCAATATAATTACAACTGTAAAAATTTTTTAGAATGAACCGATTTCCAGATTTCCAAGTAGGCCACAACTGTACAATTACACAGAGTTTTCTTTACATGAAGCCCAAGAGGAACAGCATAAAAATATGAATGTTTCTATAGCCCCTTCATTTTTTGCTGATCAACAGTTTGTTAGAAAAGCAGCTGCAGATTTGTTATGTAATAGACACATAATAGATACTATTGACAGTAGAAGAGTCAATAGATTCCATGAATTCACCTGAAACACAAGAATAAATTTATTAATTGAACTGTTATGTCATTATCTTATTAACAGTATGCAATAATTTAATGCAGTCTTTTTCAAACTTGACAACTTTAAGATGTGCAGACTTCAATTCTCAGAATTTCTCAGATTACTGGGAGTTGAAATCCATACATCTTAAGGTTGCCAAATTTAATGTCATCCAATTTTAAAATTAACCACCCCCAACAATTGTAAACAGAACTGACTAAATCAAAATGAGAACATTATAAACATATCCTTTCAGCTATTTATTCCAGTTTTGCAAATAGGCCTGGTGATAACAATAGACTAACTATACAAGTTAAATTGTAAATACAATAGATCTCCCCCCCCCCCGAAAAAAGAGCGCAAGTAGCAGTTGGTTTTATATTAGTTAACTCTCTCCATTTTCATATCCTTCAGAAACACAACTAATGAAATATGAGGCAAAATTATTTAGAATTTATAATCAATTAATTCAAAATTTAAATGGTACAAAATTACCAGTGAACTTTATGCCTGAACATCAGCTAATTCTGGAGGAAGGGGGGTTTTGGGATGCTTGCTCTCAAAGTGCTGCTTGAAGGTCTTGGGATCCGGCATCTGTGTCTGATTAAGGAGAGAATAAAGCAACACAAATGTTCATATAGAATCAAGGACAGTTTCTTCTTCCTGTATCTGTCATGATTCCTGCAGACGAAACTCTCAAAGAACTTTGAGGCATTGTTTACCTTAAAGAATCTTTATTCAAGTAGCATAGCATCGGTATGTACATAGGCAAAGCCAAAATCTGAATTCCCTTCCCCAGAGCACATAGTATCAAAGCACAATTCCTTCCCCTAGTTAACAGTCATAAACCACATTCTCCAATTAGTTTGAAATGCAGGCTTTCCCTCCAGTTCTTCAACCCGCCATTTCTTATCATCTATTTCAAAAAACCTAAGTTCTCACACTATTTACAATATTGTTATGTCTAACTAAACTCACATGCATTCCTCCCCCCCCCCAGTATCATCTATTTCTAACTCTAATTCTAAGAGTAAAACAAAGTAAAGGAAAATGGTTCCATATGTTATCAAAGCAAGAACATCCGATTTAGCAGCGTTGACAGTATTCTTAAAATCTGCCCCCATTCCTTTAGTTTCTGTTGACTCAACCTGTAGTCAATGGGTTTTGGAACATTACAATCTCTTTCATCATTTAATTTGCCTTTTTTAATATATTCATTCATATTCATCTTTAATTCTCTTACAAATTTGGCCACATAATAGTGCTTCTACACCTACCCTTCCTTTTATTTATATTTAGTTGACATTCCTTATTAAAATCAAACATTTCAACTCCCTATATTTTTAGTGTTGGGCATCAGAAAACTATAATAAAATTTATTTAATGAAATACATATATAGTTTTCCTGATAAATTATTTAGAATTGCTTAAATCTTGAAATCCTAATATGACATTAAAGGAAAACATTTTACTACTATCTTCTGACCCCCAAAATAAATATTAACTAGGAGTCAATAACTCAACTTTTGACAGACTGAAGTTTCTATCATTACCCCTATCAAATCAATAATCTTTAAATTGGAAGAGTAATAATTTCTGTAAATATCCATGCTGTCTGGAGTAGGTGGGGTTCCTAGTTTAAAACATGTTGAGAGGTTATCCAACCCTTGTTTAGAATCAGGGAAGTCAGCTGGGAAGATCCAAAATGATGATCAGACGACTACAAGCATGCTGCAACAGTCACAAATATAAGGATTAGCTGTAGGTCACTTTTTTCAGTGCTGTTATAACTTTGAATGGCCGCTAAACTGATGGTCATACAGCAAGGACTACCTGTATTACATATTTTAACTAACATGTTTCTTCTAATTTCATGTTCATTGCACACAGTTTTAGAAGTCTCATATTAATATATTTTATTTAATGTAATCACATATTGATCAAATAATATATAGCTCTTATTTGGAAAAGAACTCTAGCTATCTCACCTTCTGGAAGAAGCCTCATCAATATATTACTCTTAAGGGAAAACAGCTCTAATGCAAATTTTCCTTATCCATTACGTATACAATAGAAACTTTCAAACCGAAGGATGTTGCCATTGCTATACTTCATATTCCTGATTTAAAATCTAGAAAGATTGCCCAATATGTTGTTTCAGGACCTTACCCTACAGACGGTGCAGGTATATATTAAAGCAGCTTTAGCTGCAGCCTTCTGATCATGGCCTTGTTTCTTTTTCTGTCCAGCTTGCTTTTTGGCATTTTTCTGTTGTGACTGGATTTTCTGCTGTCCACGAGCCATATCTAGAAGTGCAGAAATTATAACTGATTATTCACATATAATTCCTAAATTAAATGAACGTATCACCCATTTAGCATTCAGAAGCTAAAATATGAAGTAGGGTATTGCAATGATCCTGATTCAAAGGGCAACACGTGATTCATAGTAACAAGGGCACACATGTACAATAGCAGCTATCAGAAACACTTGCAGCCAAACATGCCTTTTCCCAGGATCACATATCAGCTGCAGAAGGCAGCTCGTTAAACACATCAGATAATTGAACCAAAATGAGAGTAAAACCTTTAGAGTCAGATGATACTGTATATTTTTTAAAATATTTGTATGCAAAGTTTTACATAAAAACTAATGCAGACCCCAATCTGCAAGCCAAATGTATTCAAATTTACTTCATGGATCCTCAAAATAGTATAGAATTAGGTATACTTCACAATGATGGAATTTGATGAGAATTAATTGTTGAATTATTGGGAGGGAGGGAGAATGGAAGGAGTGCCAAGAGTATAAATAAAACTTCCAATTTCCTTTGCAATACAGTACAACTACAAAATTATCTCTTATTCTGTGAGATACAATCTATTTGGAATGGGGAACAAGTTCATAGTCCAGGAGTTCTCCTTGAACTTGCACTGATAGCCTAAAATATATAAACATATAAAATAATGGATAACAATAGCAAATAAAGATTTTCATGAGCTTCCGCTGCTATTATAGTTGTGTTCGTATTTAAAGAGAGACGTGGTTTCAGTGATATCTGTGCCAGTAACATCAGGTGTAGATTATTGCAACATTCCTGTGTTGTGTGGCTGTCCTTGAAATTGTTCCAGAATTGTGACTGTTCCAAAAGGAAGCATGCAGTATATACAGTGGGAGTGGCTCCACCAGAAAATTCCTATGTTGAAACATTTACATTGATGGCCAGTTGCTTTCCAAGCCAAATTCAAGTGTTTGCTTAGGTCAGTGGTTCTCAACCTGTGGGTCGAACGACCATTTCACGGGGGTCACCAAACAACGCAGTCTGCCATTTTTTTCCCCCTTCTCCTTAGCTGTGTTACTCCCTTTTATTCTATTGGCTTTTGAAAGCCAATAGAATAGACTCTCTTGAATAGAGTCTAATTCTATTGGCTTTCAAAAGCCAATAGGAATTGTCCAGGCTGTCTCTGCCCTGCTGAGCCCGCCAAAAGTCCCATTCTGCAAACGGTGCTGCACCAGTTGAGTAGTCCTCGACTTACGACCGGTTGGGGATCGCGGCATGAAAAAGGTTGAGAACCACTGGCTTTGGTGTATAAAGCATTATAAAGCCTAGGCCTAAAAGAATTGCAGGATTGTTCACAAAGTCTTCTTGGCAAATTCAGTTTTCAATGGAGTATGTTTTGTAGCTCCTGCCACAGATATATTAACACACAACAACATACATTACTACTGTATTGCTAATAAATCTGGCCTTCTCTTTTTCAATTTTGGACTTACTTGAGATTTTTTTTATGTTGCCTTTATTATTTTTATCAATAACCCAAGACAGCAAAAATATCTAATATTCCTGCCTTCTTCAGTTTTAAGCATTTATTTTTAATCTTATTTTAGAGTGGTTTCAAAATCCTGTTTATTATATATTATAAGTCACACAGAGCTATTCAAATGTACATTAATAAATATAATTGTATTAAATAAATATGGAAATGAATAAGTTGTGGCTCTTACTGTTATTCTCATAACAAATATTCTTTCTACTACTCATCTGCCTTATATTCCAATGTCATTATTGTACATTTGCCTGCTCTTAGAACTCCATTACATTTTCTGGCAAATCAACATTTCCTAATGTATTTTATTCTACTCTTCTATTATGCACATAGCAGTATGAATGGAATACTATCAACCTCTCATTGAATAAAGGAAGGTTGTCCTTTTACCACTCAGGAAAATATTTGCCAACAATTCTGGATACAATGAATACCATTTTTTTTAAAAAAAATAACAGGTCTTTAGCCACTAAACATCATTAACAACTTGGAGGGGATTGTATTTAATTAAGAGGAAAATGTTAAGAGGAAAAATAATTGGGGAAAGAGTCTCATGGCTGTACTCATGTTAATGTACAGAAATACCCCACGTTCAAGAAACATAGGTATTAATAAATATAAACTACACCAGCTTAGTGTTTTTTCATTTTATTAGAAACATATTTTACTAGATATGGACAAACTCTTAATTTTGTACAGTTATATACAACTGGCCTTAAAGAAAATTAAACTTGCAAAATGAAGCTACTAACTAAACAATGCACACACACAGCACACACACAGCAAAAAAGCCAAATCCAGATTGCTATAGGACAAGTTTCCCTGTCCACCAATTCTGTTACAATACAGAATTACAATGGGTTAAAAGTTGTGAGGAAGTAAGTGCAGATAAAAAAGTCATTAGCAAAAGAATAAAAGTTTCTTTCATAAACCAATTCTGCCTTGCAAAGATTATCCTACTTATCTACACAAATGCTCTAAATATGAAACACAAGTCTGTCAAAGTAATTGTCATGTGGTCATTAAGGCAACCATGTGATAACTAAGGCTGCCAATCCATGCAGGAATGTTTGAATTGAAATGTTTTACAGAGTTTTTTTGCAATAAATACTTACTGCTTTACTTATTCATTCATTCAACTTATATGCCACCCATCTCGCCTGGAGGCAACTCTTATTAACAGTACTAATATGAACAAAACCAAACAAATCCATTAATATTTCCCATAGTCCTTTGCATCTACCCAGTTAAGACTATAGCAAACAATATGCAGTATACTCTTATTTACAATTTAAAACTGCTTTTGCTTGCATCTAGTTAAATTGCTTTGAAAATGTAACTGTTACACAAAAAGTTACACATTTGGATTCTATCCCAATTTTTAAGGAAACTCAGAACAATATACACAGGTAGTCTTCGACTTATAACCACAATTGAGTCCAAAATTTCTGTTGCTCAGTAAAACATTTGTTAAGTGAATTTTGCACCATTTTATGACCTGTCTTGCCCCAGTTGTTAAGTGAATCACTGCAGGTGTTAAGTTAGTGACATGGTTGTTAAGTGAATCTCGCTTCCCCATTGACGTTGCTTGCTCAGAAGGTTGAAAAAGGTGGTCACGTGAACCTGGGACATTGCAACCGTCATGAATATGAGTCAGTGGCCAAGCAGCAAAACTCTGATCATGCGACCATGGAATTGCTGCAAAGGTCGTGTGAAAAATAGTCATAAGTCATTTTTTTTCAGTACTGTTGTAACTTTGAACAGTCACTAAATGAACTGTTGTAACTACCTGTACAGGATTATATCTTCTTATTCTCCAAGTTGCTCTATGACAGTGGTGGCGAGCCTATGGCACGCATACCAGAGGCGGCACTCAGAGCCCTCTCTGTGGGCTTGTGCGCCATGCCCTGGAGATGGCAACCGTCCCTCTTCAACCAGCTGCCCGCTAACTCGGCGAGATTCCACATGGCCGGATGCATCCCAGAATGGCTGGTTTCCTTCCCCCACCCCCGTCCCATACCTCCTGGCCTCGCATGCTCTCCTTTTCCTGAGCACGACCCACTGCATCACTTCCTCAACTGTTGGCCGTCTGTCCAGCTCAGAGGCGGCTTCTCTGAACTGGCAGTGGAGCCCCAGAGAGCGCCAGTTGAGGGGCTGGCAGGCTGTGGCTGTTGGCCCCCATGCACTCACTGGCCTCTGTGTGGGGGCTGATGATGTCAGGCAGCAGCCGCCCCGGCCCCTGCCTCACCTTGCCCTGCGGCAATAGCACCCCTGCCCTGCCTCGCCTCGCCTGACTCCGCAGGATGAGTCTTCTGCCCAACGCCCCACCTGCCAGAGACCTCCTGGATCTCCCCTAACCCTGCCCTGCCCCCACAGGTGTCCCTCCCTACAACCAACATCGAGGTGACCACGTCCACCTTGGCCACACCCACCCAGTCTGCCATGACCACTATAGCCACACCCACCCAGTGGGCCATGCCCACCTGGCACCCGGCGATAAATAAATGGGTTTTTGGTTGCAGTTTGGGCACCCGGTCTCTAAAAGGTTCGCCATCACTGCTTTATGAAATCCGAGTTAGCATGATTGGCTTGAGGTCATTCTATGGTTACATGCTTGGATAAGATTTGCATTAACCACCAAGTGTGCCAACAAAATATCTAATAATTTTCTTTTAAGCTTTAGTTGTATCCTAAACCACTTTTCTCTCACAACGTGCAAGTTAACTCTGAAAAGGAACATGCAATAATCAGGGTGGGTTTGATTTAAATCACTAATAAAAAGGCTTGATTTAAATCAATTTGATTTAAATCATAATTTTTAAAGAGCAACTGTCATCTCTGTCCTGCAGTGGCTCCTCCTCTGACCCGCTGTTGATTCACCGACAGTCCCCTTAACTTTAATGGGATGGCTGGGGATGCAGCAGTGACACAACAAGGTGAGGAACGTAGCGGGCAGCAGGTAAGTGGATGCCCGCTAACAGACACTGCCACGATGGATCTGAAATAACAGGTGCTCTTTAAATGACTCATTTAAAGGACTCATTTTTGCTGGTAGTTAGAATCTTTAATATTATTATTTGCAAACAAAATGAAGGTTTCCTGTTTAGAATAATAAGCTGTCAGGTTAGTAAAACAGCGATATCAGAACCAATTTTAGGTTAATACGTTAATCACACATACCATGTTTCCCTGAAAATTAGACCTACCCTGAAAATAAGACCTACCCTGATATTTGGGGGTGGCCTAATATAAGCCCTAGTTAGGACCCTGCTCACTCCGTCCCACCTCCTGCCGCAATGGGGCAGGAGAGTGCGTGTCATGCCACTGCCGCCACAACAAGGCAAGGCAGGTGGGGGAGGGGGTGGAACTGCCCCACATGCCCTGCACCTGCTTACTTCTAGGCCCCCCCCCCAGCCAGACCACTCCTTGCTTGGCAACCTTCCCTTTCACTCCCCTCCCAAAGCACGACTACCATGCTATGGAGTACCCCTCTGCCATTTCGGAGCCAGAGGGAGTGACAGCAAAAGGCTCTGCTGCCGCCACTGTATGTGCTACATGGCCTCCTGCTGCAAGCAGCCGCAGAAGTGGGCTGACAGCCATGTGGGCACCTGCTGGACGGGGCTGTTGGTGCTGCCACCATGAGGTGAGGCAGGTGTCACAAAAAATATAAGACATCACCCCAAAATAAGACCTAATACCTCTTTTGGAGGCAAAAATAATATAAGACCGGGTCTTATTTTTGGGGAAACACGACAGCTGGGAAACTACTCAAATTCTTTTATTTAATTAAAACACTTAGAGATGCATTTTTCTTCAAACAATCATACAGTTTGTAGTGTACACAGATTTGCAAAACAATGGGATAAAAGAATATTCCAGAACTTTATTTTATGACTTATCTCATGGTTACTGTGAAATTGTGTGAATGAATCAATGCAGTGCATGTTATCTCATCTTGCAAAGCTTGGATTCATTGAATGAGTTTACCAAAAATGTAAATATTGCAGAATATACAGCTTCATGCTACATAACTAAACTCCATTTTATGCTGAATAAACTAAATTATTAATGTATCTTAAATAGAAAACTATATTTAGACAGATTTTTACTCCAAAAGCATTTTATTAAAATAAATTTGATAAAAATTTAAAAACCCAATTTAAATAAAAAAAATCTGATTTTAATTTTTTTTTTAAAAAAAATCACCAATTATTATCCACCCTGGCAATAATGTCCATTTTACTGGAAAAGATTAAAAAAACCTGAAGATAGCCAAATCCTCTAGAATCCAGATAAAAATCAATTCCATAAAAATAATAAAAATCTGCTTTATTCAGCTTAATATTTAAAACATAAATGTGTTCCCCTGAAAATAAGACCTAACCAGAAAATAAGCCATACCATGATTTTTCAGGCTGCTACCCTAAAAATAAGTTCCAGTTAAGATTGTTAGCCAGACAGACACATTTAATTAGTACAATTTCCCGAAAATAAGACCTAATCTGAAAATAAGCTCTAATATGTCTTTTGGAGCAAAAATTAATATAAGATCCAGTCTTATTTTTGTGGAAACACTATATCTGTTGTAATCCTTACTCTGAAGTTTATGTGAATACTTACTGGGTCTGCAATTTGGTTAAAGTGTTTTTAAGAGGTACAAAATTTATCAGATTAGAAAATAAATATATGGGAGAAGGGATGATAAACCTATTCAGTAATGTTGTAACTTTTCAAAAGTACTTCCACTGCTTAGAAAAGGTATGTTATCCAGTTAATTGGCTTTTTAAAAAATAGATGAATTTTGTAAATGATTTTAAATTGCAGATTTACAATTTACAACAAGCAATAATTTTAACTGAGCTCAGCAATCAATAATCAGTAAAATAAAGACCTAACATGCAACCATTTTCTTTTGAGACAATGAATATTGGAGGTATAAAATTTAGCATTACAGTATATAACCTAGCTTAGCTTTATTCAGCAAATATTGGCTTTTCTTTGTGTGATAATAGAACAGGACAAAATTAGCAATTCTACGGGATGACTGAATCTCTTATTTCCCTCAAAGGGGACATGTGGAAGATCTATGTTTCCTTATTAGTAAATAATCCTCTCTAATTTTTACAAATGTTCCCTTTTCTTCATCTACATATCACTAAATTAATTCAAAACAAAAGAGAGTGATAACCATGTGGGCTATATTTGCTATATATAATGTCAATTACTGACAATTGTTTTAATCAAAATTATTATCTGTATTACACTGGGTCAGTCAGCATTATACACTGGCTTCTATTATGATGCAATTTCCCCCCAAAAACTCATGCCACTGCCTTTTTAGGTCTTTAGTAGGCTTATGGATACAATTGATTATCTTGTTTGGAACAGCTGAGAATTCTAAAAAGTAGGTTGGATATTTCTAAAAACAAACCAAGATTGTCCATGACATTGCCAACTAGAAGAATTCTTTAAGTCCCAAAAGAATTTTATATTTGTGACACCCAGTTCTCCTGAAACTGTGCATAACATATGCTACCAGACTATTCCTGGTTTTCAAGCAAACTCACAATATTCAACACGAGTTCTGAAAGTCAGCTTCTCGTTTGTAAAAGCAGAGCACAATATGAAATACTTTCTTTTAGGTCGTTTTCATGTTCTTGCATTATAAATTATATTCTGAAATAACTCTGGGGGCAACACATTTGGCTCTCTTAACATTATCAATCAACAGCAACACATTTTTCCAAGGAGGATAAAACTATAAAATTGAGCAAGTCTTCCCAACAAAGTCCAAAAGAAGTAATACTAGATTAAACTGCTAAGTATTACATCTGTCATGCAATAAGAGTTGTGTCCTAGGAGGAAATCTTTAAATTCAAAAACAAACAGTACAAACAGCTGAGAAACAAATGGTAACAGGGTCTCATATTTCTGCTCTGAAACCCATTACTTTGTATACAGGAAGCTGAACACAAATTAACTATTATTCAACTTAATTTGAACTTTATGATACCTCATTATATTTCATCTTCCCTGTACCCAAAGGCAAAAATATAATCATTCCAGACAGACTTTAAGCTGCTTGGGATGACAATAACAGACACAGGCCCATCAAGCGACTTTAAGGCAAGGAATGAAATGACAATAGGCGGCAGGATCAGAAATGTAGCTATGAAAAAGTTATGGCTTATGCTGTATGTACATAGAATATTCACACACAATAACCCAAGTGGAAGGTGGGGGGGAACAGAGGCCAAGCCTAACTTTGTGCAATACAGCAGGCAGAAACCTCTCTCAGGCAGAGATAGGCCACAAGAGCCTGGGACCTTTAGAGGAACATTACACCTCCACCAGCCTCACCTATTCAAGGTAAACAGGTATTCCCAGTCAAACTACTGCATCTCCATAGTTAACTTCTCCCAGGAATCCCGGTAAATAGTTTTGAAACAAAAACAGAGAGGAGAAAAATACAAAGAAACGTCGTCTCCCGAAGCGTGGCTGAGACTCACTTCAAGCAGCTCTTTCAGAAAGGGCAGCCACCATTCCCCGTCCCGTCCCAGGTAAGCGCCCTCCCACCTTTCCCCGAGAAGAGAAGCAAATGCCATGACAAGCTGTTGCCCCTCTGAGTCCGCGCAACAATGTGCCCAGCCGTCACCCCCAAACGCCCGTCTCGGCTCCGGAGGAACGCCGGGCCGCCTCCCCTCCACCCTGAGGATATGGGCGGCCTCGCTCGGGTGGCCGGTGGGTCGGGAAGGTGCCGCTCGCCGCCCTAAACAGTTGGTCGGCCTCGCCACCGAGAAGCCCTCGGGCCTGGCGGGGCGGCATTGGCCCCCGACCCCCTCCTTCTCCCGCCTCGTTTACCCAAGTTGTGCCTTCTTCCGCCGGCGAGGCGTCAGTCGACGGCGAGGAGTGGCTCCGGGGAGCCCAGCAGCAGCGGCCGCCGCCGCCGCCCGCTCGAGAAGATGGAACAGCCCGCGCGTCTTCCGGTCTGTCGTCCGGTCCGTCAGTCCGTCGGCAGCCCCACCTTCGCCGGGCCGCGCACGCGCCACCACTCCCCTCACCGCGCGCCGCCCCGAGCGCGAGGCAAGGCCGCTCCCGGCTGCGCCCGAACTGGGCCAATGGCGGCGCCTCGCTCTTACCGCTGGCGGGAGCGAGAGCGGCGGGGCGGGGGGAGGCTGCTTGGTCTCCCCCCCCCCCCCCAGTGTGGGGCAGCCGCCTTGCTTCAGGGGGCGCGACCTGGTCTTCCGACTTGTACTACATGTTGCCTCGGGAGCAGAATGATGGGCTTTCTAGTCCTCCCTACTTGGGAAGAGCCTGATTTGGCAAGACGCGGGAAACCCCCCCCCCCAGCCTGCTGAAGCCTTCGGAGCGTCTACGATTAGATGAATAATGAAAGTATACGTGGGTGGGTTTCGTTGTGGTTAAATTTGGATTGTGGTTGGGGATGTTGCAATTCTGGAGTCGCGCTTTTGCGAGTTGAGCAGCCCTTTAAATCAATGTATTTCCAATCTTGGCAATTTTAAAATGTGTGGATTTAAACTCCCAGAATTCACCATCCAGCATGCCCTTATCTTAACGTTGCCAAGGTTGAAAAACACTGCTATAAGTACATACTGTATTTATACATGTATTTAAATAAATAAATAAAGTAATCAAGGAGTTGCACAATTTATGTTCGAATTCACTTTGGTAGGCTGCTAGTGAACCATGGATGATACAAATGAGACCAGTGTCCTTGATTTACTGAAAGGTGTAACTTCCGTTTTGGCTCTCCTGGAGTTTATCTAGTAATCCAAGCTTGATTCTGTCCTGAACAATAATCACAGTATCACATTCAAGACTGGGAAAAATATGAAAATTAGGGTTGAGTAATGAAATCGTTGTCCTAAAAGTACATGTTTTCAGAAAAGGGCATAGATGAGATAAGATGTTGATTTTTAATGTGTAGTTGTGTAGCCAAATGTATATCCTGCCATTTCAAAAGTAATTGGGGGTTGTCAGTTGGTCCAAAAGGTGTGAAATTTTGCAGAAAATGAGTTTACTTTTGGTAGAATCAAATATCAAGGAACTAAGCATTAAAGAATATTACATTCTTAGATGCTCTGAGCGCTAGCTCTATGTTTACATTCTACAGATTGTCTTTTTTCCAAGTTTAAAATAAGCTGCATAGCTACATCCTTCATGGGAATATATCCTATTGGGTCCAATTCAAGGTCATAAAGGATTTAGGATCTATTTGTCTACAAAGGACCTACTCCTCTATGAACCTTCCTAGCGATTAGGTTTGGTTGTAGAAGCCCTATTTCTGTTATGTCCAGTTATAAGATTACACAGATGAACATGAGAAAGAAAATGAGGTGGTTTATTTATACGATAATGAATTTGAAACACTCTAGTAGTCCAGAAAATGGCCATTTCTATTCTCAGCCACAAGGTGTCTTAGAAGATAATGTAGGTCCTAAACCAGGGTGTCTAACTCGCCGCATCGTGTGATGTGTCGCAACATATCGCAACTTTTTTTGTATTGCCGGATCTGGGGTGGGCGCGGCCTCAGCATGATGCAACCAACCCACGGGCCGGCAATTTGATACCCCTGTTATAAATCAATACTATCAAAAGAACCTAAGTCTCATCTGATAGAATTAAAAATACAATTTTTTCCAAAAAGGATGGATGGAAAGTTCAGGATTTATCCTGAGCTGCAACTAGATTATTTCTAAATTTCAAATATTAAGAGGGCACCTGTCCACCCTAGATGAGTTCAGATCACGAGGATCAGATGGATTACACTGCAAGGTTCTGAAGGAACTGGCAGATGTGGTCTCAAAACCAGGGAACTATATCTTTCAAAGATCCTGGAGCACCAGGGAACTACCAGAGGATTGGAAAAGAGCTGATGTAGTTCCCATCTTCAAAAAGGAAAAGAAATGGACCTAAGAACCTACAGACCTATTCATGTGACATAAATACCTGGGAAAATTCTGGAAAAGATAAGCAACAAATCTGCAAACACCTAGATGCAAACAAGTCATAACCAAAAGCCAACATGGGTTTGGCAAAAACATGCCAGACAAATCTTATTGCATTCTTTGACCTAGTGACAAAATTAGTGGAACAGAGGAATGCTGTGGATATAATTTACTTGGACTTCAGTATGGCATTTGATAAAGTAGACCACAACCTGATACTTGATAAGATAGAAAAATGTAGGTTAGACAGCATTACCGCCACATGGATTTGTAGCTGGTTGACCAACCACACTCAATGTGTAATCCTCAATGGAACTGCATCTACATAGAAGGAAGTGTGCAATGGGGTTCCCAAGTCTCTATCTTAGGCCCAGTACTCTTCAATATCTTCATCAATGATTTGTATTCTATTCTAGATCGGGAACTCATCAAATTTGCAGACAAGACCAAGCTGGAAGGAATAACCAACATTCCAGACGATAGGTTTAAGACACAGATCTTGAAGACCTGAACAGTAAGGTTGTACATTTAGGTAAGAAAAACTAAATGCACAAGTATAATATAGATGGTACCTGGCTCAATAGTAGTAACTGTTAGAGGGGCCCTAGTGGAGAGTCACTTAAATCTGAGCAAGCAATGTGCTGCAGCTGCCAAAAAAGCCAACACAGAGGGATAGAATCAAGATCACGTGAAGTAGTAGTACCGCTTTATAATGCCTTGGTAAGACCACACTTGGAATAGTGCATCCAGCTTTGGTCGACACAATATAAAAAAGATGTTAAGACTCTAGAAAGAATGCAGAGAAGAGCAACAAAAATGATTAGGGGACTGGAAGCTAAAATATATGAAGAACAGTTGCTGGAATTGGGTATGTCTAGTTTAATGAAAAGAAGGACTAGGGGTGACATGATAGGAGTGTTCTAATATCTAAGGAATTGACATAAAGAAGAGGGAGTCAACCTATTCTCCAAAGCACCGGAAAGCAGGACAAGAAGCAATGGAGGGAAACTCAAGGAGACAAACAACCTAAAATTAAGGAAAAAATTCCTGACAGTTAGAACAATTAATCAGAGGAACAATTTGCCTCCAGAAGTTGTGGATGCTCCAACACTGGAAGTTTTTAAGAAGTGATTGGGCAACCATTTGTCTGAAAAGGTATAGGGTTTCCTGCCTTAGCAGGGGGTTGGATTAGAAGACTTCCAAGGTCCCTTCCAACTCTGTTATTCTATTCTATTATATCTGTACCATGAGTATGACCACTTGAAAGCCATTGATCTGGGATTGTTAATCATTGGCTTAATTTAATTTAATTAATTAATTCATTTATTTTTAAAATATATATATGTTTCTATATCTTAACTCATGGTGGCTTACAAAAAAAATCACTACAATAGCAGCAGATCAGGAGAAACATACGAGGGCAATTTCGAAATAATCCTCTGTTTGGTTATCAATGACAGACACTCGCAGATACAGAACTTCTACTATACACATTAGAAAACTACAAAATTACATTACTTTTTGACATAATCGCCATTCAAATTGAGGCACTTGTCATAACATCCTACAAGATTTGGAATTCCTTAATAGTAGTCGCTTGGCGCCAAATCTGGGCTATGTGGAGGGGGATGATCAAAAACATCCCAACGGAACTGCTTCAAAAGTTCTTGGGTGCGTCCAGCTGTGTGCGAGCAAGCATTATTCTGAACCAATACCATACCGGAAGTCAGCATGCCCCAACGCTTGTTATGGATGGCTCGTCTGAGTTTTCGTAATGTTTCACAGTAGACTTCTGAACTGATGGTTGAACCACGTTCCATGAACTTCACTAGCAGTACTCCTTTGGTATTTTCACATTTGGCAGGATTTTCTATGGCACCACTTCCACTGTGGTGTTGGTTCACAATAATGCTCGCCTGCACATCGCTAGATGCACCCAAGAACTTTTGAAGCAGTTCCGTTGGGATGTTTTTGATCACCCCCCTCCACATAGCCCAGATTTGGCACCAAGCGACTACTATTAAGAAAACTCCAAACCTTGTAAGACAGTGGTTCTCAACCTTTCTAATGCCGTGACCCCATAATACAGTTCCCCATGTTGTGGTGACCCCCAAGTGGGTGTGGCCACCAATAAGAGGGAGTAGGACAGCTGGGGAAAAGGGAAAAAAATGGCGGACAGCGTGGTTTGGCAACCCCCGTGAAATGGTCGTTCGACCCCAAATGGGGTCCCGACCCACAGGTTGAGAACCACTGTTGTAAGATGTTATGACAAGTGCCTCAATTTGAATGGCGATTATGTTGAAAAGTAATGTAATGTAGTTTTCTAATGTGTATAATAAAAGTTCTGTATCTGCAAGTGTCTGTCATTGATAACCAAATGGAGGTTTATTTCTGAATTGCCGTCATATATTAATTCCAATTCCAATTCAGAAATTGGAGCACAATGGACAAATACAATTCAGTGCAAAAATAATTTTTGTCTATGCTTTGCATGACTGTTCAGAAGTGATATCCATCAAAAGCTCTTATTCCAAAACAAGCATCTATAGCACTATAACTTAGTTTGTTCAGTACTTAATATCTATTTGGGGATTATACACACACACACACACACACACACACATACATATATGAATTTAACATGTTACATAAGTTACACTATATATGCCCTCCCCCCCCCGAAGTTAATTTTTAAAGTGAGATAGAATTCCTTTGGAAGATTTTCACAGCCTAGCTGTAGATATGAAAAAAGCTGTTTTCTTTAATCCCAGTTCTTTTTGGGATAAACCAGACAGCTTCTGTAGATGATAGCTGGACAAGTCAGTCAGCAGTATAGTTAGACAGTAACCTTGATTTAATCTGAATAAAAGCCCACCATGTGCCTAACAGCTGTGCAAGCACATGCTTTGGTTATAATGCATGTTATATAACTTCTCCAGACTTCAAATATCATTATTAGTCTTTCAAAATTTAATCAATTACTTACTGACTGTAAAGCTGCAGCTTGCTTTCGAATTGGTGTAGCTACATAATTGGTACAAGCTGTTTTATATAGTGATCTAAAGGAATTGAGAATTAAATATTTAGAAGTGGAAATTCTGAGAGTTGCATTCCAATAGTTTTGAAAACTGGGGAAACCTTTCTTTTGCTAAACTGCTTAAAATACAGAATGCCTACCTTTGTTGACTGCAGTCAATAAGAACAATTTCTTGGCATGTTTTTCTCTGTTCTGTATTTCTTTTTCATAATAGTAGCCAACTGTTAAATCCTTTGGCTATTTAGTTTGAGATGTCAAGTATATATTGATTTTTATAATTTGACATGTTATTTATACATTTTTTTTGCATGCACTTATATGAAAAAAATAGACACTTGCTAAAGACTTGCAGTCTAAAATTAGTTGATGCAGGAAACAGGAGGAGGGTTGGTGTTTCACTTGTAACAGCTGTGTATGAGTATGTGCAATGGCAGCCACTAGTACTAAACAAATCCTCCCATGAAATGCTCATCTTCTAACATCCTCAGGTTTCAGAAATGATTTCTGTAACCATTTGCCACCCTTGGCACAATTGTTTTGTTTTTAATAGCCTCTTCTATTTTATCAGTACATGTAAGATGACCTGCTCCCATTTACTTGTAATTAAGTTGCTGCAACAGGGACCTCTCTCCTTGTATTCAGTAAATGCCATGGAAATCTTACATAGGAATCTCTGTCTCAAAGAAAGCTACACAATAATGTTTTTTTTTTTAAAGACATGTGATTTCTCTACACAGAAAGCACTTTATATAACAAGCATACTATCAGGTGAGAATCCATCTGCAGTGTAAAATGGGACAACACTTAAGTGGCTTGTCCCATCCCAGTTGTCTGGAACAACCCAAGTAGGATGTGCTGGTATGGTTATGAATCATCTTGCGTGTTTTGAAGAGTTTCAGTTTCTGCAAAGTTACAATGGCATCTCATTATGTGATATTGTCTAATGTCCTATTTACAACAATGCAGTACTTTGGTTAACTCTCCTGATAGAGGAATAGCAGTAACAAAATACATTCTAAGTCTTTCTCAACAGTTCTGTCAGTAGTTGGTAAGGATTCATGAGAGATTGTGACTGAAGAAAAAATAAAAATCCTTTTTTTATTTTATGTGCTATACGAAGCTAGCAGTAGTGTAAGCTTTTATGTACCACAAATCAGCTGCTGATGTGCTTTGCTCTTGTTGTAATGTTGCAAATGTGAATTGTGTTGGTTAGAAGTGAATTGTATTGTGAAATTTTCATATTTATTGTAATTTTCATGCAGGGGTTCCCTGATGTCCAAAGATTATTTCAAGAGTTCTTCCTGGTAAAAATATTACAGATGTCTTAAAGGTGCTTCTTGGTCTTCATTTATGAATTAAGGTATAAATCAGGTAATGGAAACTGAAAATGATAGAGCTTTTTCTTTTGTGAAATCAGAGAACAGAGTTGTTTTTTCTTTCCCATCTGTTTGAATGGATATGTTTTATGTTAAATGTGTTAATATGGTTTTATTCCTATTTTTAAATATGATTGTTAGTATGATAGGACCCTATGTATTTTATGATCGTTCATAGAATACAGTCAAAGAGTATAGGATTGTTTCCTGGCAAACAGTCTTTAATTGTTTTTCATAAAGTATGACCAGGTTGAAAGATATTTTATAAACCACTTGAAAAAGGATTCTTTTACATGCATTGTTTATTTTTTTGAGTCTTTTTGAAAAGAGTTCTAGTTTAGAGAAATGCACTTGCCATTCAGAAAAAAGTAGTTGGAAGTGGTAAAGGATGCAAGTTCTCAGATCTAAGGAGAGGAAGCAAGTTTGCATTTAAGTTTTATTATGATGTAAAAAAAGAATATTTGTTTCAGTAACTAGGTGCTACATCCCAGTTTCACACATAATTAAACCATAAGTTTGTTAGATGAAATTGCTTGCCATCATGTCCTTGAGTAATTTGATAGGGCTACAAATTTGAACTTTGTAGACATTCCTGAAATAGCTCTTGCTTTGTCATTTCCTAAAGCTGCATTACAATTATAGTATTACAGCATTATGCCATATCCTTGTTTGTCATTACATGATTTAACTCCCATTAGATTATACAGAATAGTTGCTGCTCAAAAGCCTGGAAACAAGAATAGGAAAAGTAAATGATAGGATATGGTCAAAGAGTTTATGATGTCATTATGTTGGACATGTCCGCTAGTGAAACATATTTTTATACACCTGTCTGGCTTCTAACATCTCTAGGCCACCTTTTGTTTTGATTGACTTTGACACAGCCATGCATAAAAACAGGATATGTATATCCTATCCTAGAAGATTTGTACTATCAGACTTGCAATATTACTCTAGTCCAGTGTTTCTCAACCTTGACAATTTTAAGGCATGTGGACTTCAACTCCCAGAATTCCACAGCCAGCATTGCTGGCTGTGGAATTCTGGGAGTTGAAGTCCACATGCCTTAAAATTGTCAAGGTTAAGAAACACTGCTTAGTCTTACAATAAAGTATAATTAGCTCATCTGGTCATGTTTCCTGCCTGATCTACATGGGAAATCTTGCAAGCCTGATAGTACAAATCTGCTGCTTTCTGTTGTACTGTCTGACAAGTTAGGGACATTTCTTTCTGCCTCTCTTTCTCTACCCATTATGTAGTTGTGAGCTATGGGGTCTCTTTGGCAACATTCCTGAGGCAGCATTTCTTCCACAATCACCACTCCCCAATCTCCCAAGGTCATCCCCACATATCATTACAGAGAGAGTAACTGAACCAAAATCTAAGACAGTGGTTCTCAACCTGTGGGTCGGGACCCCATTTGGGGTTGAACAACCATTTCACGGAGGTCGCCAAACAATGCAGTCCGCCATTTTTTTCCCCTTTTCCTTAGCTGTGCTACTCCCTTTTATTCTGTTGGCTTTTGAAAGCCAATAGAATAGACCACAGGTCGGCAACCTGCGGCTCCGGAGCCGCATGCGGCTCTTTGAGCCTTCCCCTCTGGCTCCCAGCCTCCTCTGCCTTTGCAGAGAGAGACAGAGACAGAGAGAGGCAATTGCACTTCCCTGCTTCTCTCTCTCTCTCTCTCTCTCTGTGTGTGTGTGTGTGTGTTTGTGTTTTTGTGTGTGTGTATGTGTAAAACAGAGTGTACTCACAGTGTTCTCCGAGGAGCTGAAAAGCTTTCTGGGCGGAGCTCCTCCCTTTGCTGCGTCTCTGCAGGAAGCAGGAAGGGCAGGAGAGAGCTAGCTAGCCCAGCTAGGCTGACTCAGGAATTCTGGGAGTTGAAGTCCATGAGTCATAAAAGAGACGAGGTTGCCTACCCCTGATCTTGTTGGACAACAGCTTGAAGCTTGCCAGGTGAGCAGCAGATAGGAGGGAGGGGAGAAAGAGAGAGAGAGAAAGAGGGAGGGAGGGAGGGGGAGAGAGAGAGAGAGAGAGAGAGAGTGGGGGAAGAGGAGTGGCAGACCAAGGGCAGATAGAGAGGGAGGAAGGGAGAGAGACAGAGAGAGACCCTTTTGACATCTAAAATGAAGATAACACTGCATATATCCTTTTTTTTACCTGTGTGTGTATGTAATTTTATTCTCTTAAAGCATTCTCTTGGTGATCATTGTTTTAATAGTATGGATATTCCCAAAAGTCATATTTTTACTTTTTTTTTTAGTGTGTGTGTGTGTGTGTGTGTGTGTGTACACACACACACATACATACATACACACACGCGCGCGCGCGCGCACACACACACACACCTATAATAAAGGTAAAAAAGGATATATGCAGTGTTATCTTCATTTTAGATATCAAAAGGGTTTTGCGGCTCCCGGTGTTTTGTTTTTGGTGGGAAACGGGTCCAAGTGGCTCTTTGAGTGTTTTGGGTTGCCTACCCCTGGAATAGACTCTCTTGAATAGAGTCTAATTCTATTGGCTTTCAAAAGCCAATAGGAATTGTCCAGGCTGTCTCTGCCCTGCTGAGCCCGCCAAAAGTCCCATTCTGCAAACGGTGCTGCACCAGTTGAGTAGTCCTCGACTTACGACTGATTGAGTAGTACTCAAGTTACGACCGGTTGGGGGTCGCGGCATTAAAAAGGTTGAGAACCACTGATCTAAGAGATTGAACAGGCTCACAGCCCACACACATTCATATATTCCCCTTAGAAGGAAGGAGAGAAACTCATATAAATGTGCTAATTTATATTTCTTCTTGTCCTCCAAAGTGATTATTTGCTTTTTGGGTTCACATATAATCTAACTGCAATCTTTTTGCTGTTTCTTGCTTTTCCTGTTTGATTAATTTAGAATTGGTTTACTACTAAGGTATTAGTGCTTTTTTTTTTAGAAAACGTGTAAAATAATGTATAGTGCACTCTATACATTTCTGCTGTGAAATAAATGCTACTGATTTCAATAAGATTCATTCTCAGAGAAGACTAATAGAGGATTACAGGTCTAGCAATGAACAAATAGAAGTGAAATTTTAATATTTCCTAATAACAAAGTAATGCAAGACTACCTCTTTTTTAAAGCACCTTTTTAACAGACCAACCTAACAGGTAGTATTTGCATTCTTAAATTAATTAAATTTTCATACTGTTTTTCTCTATTGTAATACAACATAGAGCATATAAACAAATATGTAGATAACAGCATATGTAGCAGCTCAGAAGCAAATCACAGGGGTAACAAGTTGGGCAGTTTCCCCTTTTGGGACATTTTTTGTGTGAATATTGAAAGAACATGGACTAGTGAAGATTACTGACTGAAGAATCTTCTTTAAGTATTTGGTGCTTCTTTAAGAGTAAAACTATCATTTTGATACATACAGTTATCTTTGGGCTGTTGGTTTGATCTCCGGGCTTGGTAATTAGGATGCGAATGTTTTGTCTCCATTCGGGAGGACATCTTCAATGCAGTTTGAATTGTGTTTGGTTTGTTTGGAATGTTGCTTCTGGTATTTCAGTTGAAGCAGCTCTCTCACTCTCAGTGGTTGGTAGGCAGGGTCGATGTCAATGTGCCTGTTCACTGATTGGTTGATGGAGAACCAGGCCTCAAGGAATTCTCTTTCTCTCCTTGACTTTTCTTGGGTTATAATTGTGGTCCCAGTTAGATTGAACTTGTGTTCTTCTGAGTCCTCGTGGACAGACATGAGGGATAATGGGTCGTGTCTTTTGATAGCCAGGGAGTGCTCAACTGGTGCACTTATGACCGGTTGAGTAGTCCTTGACTTACGACCGGTTGGGGGTTGCGGCATTAAAAAGGTTGAGAACCACTGTTCTAGAGTCTCAACATCTTTTTTACATCGTGGTGACCAAAACTGGATGCAGTGTTCCAAGTGTGGCCTTACCAAGGCATTGTAAAGTGGTATTAATACTTCACGTGATCTTGATTCTATTCCTCTATTAATGCAGCTTAGCACTGTGTTGGCCTTTTTGGCAGCTGCAGCACACTGCTGACTCATATTTAAGTGATTGTCCACTAGGACTCCAAGGTCCCTCTCACAGTTAGTACTATTGAGCAAGGTACCCCCTATACTATACCTGTACATTTGGTTTTTCTTGCCTAAATGTAGAGCCTTACTTTTTTCACCATTGAATTTCATTTTGTTAGATAGTGCCCAGTGTTCAAGTCTGTCCAGATCCTCCTGTATCTTAAGCCTTTCTTCCGGAGCGTTAGCTATTTCTGCCAGCTTGGAGTCGTCTGCAAATTTGATGATTTCCCCATCTATCCCCTCATCCATATCATTGATGAAGATGTTGAAGAGCACTAGGGCCAGAACAGAGCCCTGGGGCACCTCACCCCACCCCACCCCATGTGTTGGTTATGTTCATCACCTTGAATTATTTGTAAAAGTAATAAAGCAGGATACAAGTAAACAAACAAATAAATAAAGGTGAGCCAGTTGCCAAGTTCCCAAAATGTGATCATGTGCTTGTGGTGTGTTTGTCTCTGTCTCTCTCTCTCTCTCTCTGTCTCTCTCTCTCTCTCTCTCTCTCTCTCTCTCTCTCTCTGTGTGTGTGTGTGTGTGTGTGTGTGTGTGTGAAACCATTGAAACTTCAAATTGGGTCATTACTTTTGGGGGAATCTATTTTGTCTTCAAACAGTTATTAAGTGATCGACAGTAAATTGAGAACTACATGTACGACAAAGAGATTCTGTAACATTTCTGCTTGAACTTTGAGCAACCAGTGCAGTTTGTGTGATTCAGCACAGACCATCAGACACAGAGAGAGCTTTAATTCCATTCTTTGACAATCCTTTCCTCCCCAACTCTTTTTTTTTTTGACAGCAGTGTCATTAGTAATACTGTAAGAGTAATTTTCAAAGAAATTTTAAACATGAAAGCCAATCTATCCAAGTGGGGCCAATTTTCTCAGCCTTTAATACAATTGCTTTGGCTTA